TATATTATTAAAGACCTCCTTGTACATAGATATTAAATAATTTATTAGTAAAATAGTATATAAGTTGATTACAATAACAAAACAACATGCTCACGGGATTAGTAAAAATATTTCATGGATTGAAGATTTAATGGGATTAAACATTTAAATTAATTAACTTAGATAATTCAAAAGCCTTCCAACATTGTTTTGACTTTAATATATTACATCATGTGTATACTTTAAATATATATATTTAAGGAACTTTAAACAACAGAATTTTTAAAAAAATTATTTTAGGGAACTTTAAACAGCATATTACGTCACTCATAAAACATATTATATTTCAACATCATAGTTATAGTATTAATATTTAATGAACTTGAAACAGCATTGTTAAATATTTACGTCCACCCATAATTTTTTTACAAGTCGAAGGTAATTAATCCCGTTTCTTTTTTATTTGTTTGTTTGTTCAATTTTTTGACAAAACTGATATCATGGATAAAATAAATTAATATTAAATAAATTAATTAAATAATATAAAATAATATGCTTTAGACAGATATAGGATGCGGATAATCCTCTCATACCAAACAACGCAATTTCAAAATTGACTCAGACCCAACAATCTTATCCAACATTTCATATAAATAAATATTAAATAAAATGCTTTAAACAGAAATTAGATAAGAAATTTTGAATCTGCCTTGTTTTTAGTATAAATAGGCTTTACGTACATTTTTTTTACTTCACCGATTATGGGATTTGTTTTGACTAAATCGATGTTATTATGGAATAAGACAAATAAATAAAGTCTTTTTATTTTAGTAAGAATTTTACGTACTTTTTTTTGACTTATCGGATGTTATGGGATTTTTTTTTTCTTAAGCCGGTTTTTATTTTAGTAAAACTTTTAAAGAATAACTAATATAATTTTATTATCTAACCATCAATAAAATCATTTAATGATGTGATCATTATCTTTTAAATGATAAATAATATAATTTTTTTTTTAAAAAAATATTAGTTTTATATAACTAAATAAAGATTAAAAAATATTACTCGACAAATATTAATTATAATGGATATCAGTAAAATCATTGCATAAATTATTTAGGGAAAATATCTTTAAGATCATATCTGGATAATAAATGTAAATATGCAAGCATTTAATGCATATAGTAAAAAATTTCTAAATAAGGTATGCATTAAATGTGTGTTGACTTTTCTTGCTACTATTTTTGGTAAATATGTTGGCTTTTAATATATATATAGATTATATTATATTAAAAATAAACGTATAACTAAATGAATAAAAGCAATTAAAACAAATATTATATGACCCCATTAAATACATACATATGTAGAATAATAATAATTTGACAAAATAAACTTGTAATAATTAGAATAATATGCACGCAAAATTTCGTATTATTGAATTAATAAACACGAGAACTTCGTACAAATGATTTTCAACGGATCAAATGAAATATAGTGGATTACAAATCTCTATTATTCATCTGATTAATTTCTTTAAGAACGATCTTCAAATGGGTTTGAGACTTTTGAAGACGAATTTTTAGTTTGATCTCCGCCGGTCTTGAATTTGGATTTAAATAACGTTTTTTCGAGGGCTTGACAGCTTGATCTCGAATCGAACGTCGTGATTTCCCAAGAACGTGAAGAACACGAGTCCTTGGTCTAATTTTGATCTTCTCTACGTCGGTCTTTACTTTAATAACTAATTCGGAGGCTTGACAGTTTTTTTCCGGATTGAACGTCGGTTTTGGGCTTGAACGCGCTTGAATTTTTCTTCGGATCTTCAAGAACGCCTTTGAATCTTCAAAACACTTTGACTTTAATAACGCAATTAGGAAACTTGGCAGCTTGTTTCCGGATTGAACGTCGGTTTGGGCTTGAACGCACTTGAATCTTTCTTCGAATCTTAAAAAACGTCTTTGGATCTTCAAGAACACTTGAATCTCGTGGAAAGAGTTCTATAGAGCTCTTGAATTTGGAACTTGAATATGAATTGTGTTTTTCACCTTAAGGAGAGTATTGGGAGAGTCTTGAAAAAAAAAAAAGAATTCCATTAGATTGGTCCATAATTTCCAATATTTATCTCTTAATAACTATTTAAAGAGATAATTAGGAGAGAGAGTCTTGGAAAAGAAGATTTCAATTTAATTGGTCCATGAATTTTCACTTATTTATCTCTTTAATAATTATTAAAATAAATAATTATTTATTTTACTCTCCAAAAAATGACATGTGACATTCTTTAATTGGCCTTCAAAATATACACGTGGCATTCTTTAATTGGCCAACAATGTATATTAAATAAATAATTAATTAATTAACTATTTAATTTAGAAATTAAAATTTAATTAATTTCCCAAATAAAATAATAAATTATTAAATTGACTATAGCATGAAATTTGACACTTGTCGCCATTGGCTCAAAATTTATTTGTCTACATGCACATTACTAATACAACACCCGTGTATTACACGGGTGCTTGCTAATTATTTTTCTTAAAATTTAAAATTAATGAGAAAAAGTAGTTTGAAAATTTAAATACCTTTTATAAGAATATATATTATTATATATTTATTATGATACTTTTTATTTGTGCAACTTACTTGTGTTGTATTATACTAATTTTTTAACTTACAATATATAACTACATTAAATATGAATATATCAATTGAGAAATAATTTTATTTTTCTAATGAATTTTAATAAATATTATTATTTTTTATTATTATAAAGATAAATATAATTTATTTATTTTATATATACAATATGGATGTCAAATCGAAGATCATCAAAGATGATTAATTTGATATATTATATATGTAACACCGATAAGAAATACAAAAATTATCTACTTTTAAAATACTTTTATAATTCAGTAGCTAATTGAATGAAGCAAATCAAAATTTAGGGATATATTAGTCACTTAGTGCCTCATTATGTAAAATTACAAAGAATTAAAGGGTTATATTAGTAAAAGTGATATTAAAATACCTAAGTTAGCTAAATAATATTGATGGAATACCCGAACCTAGATTATTAATTATTAATATATTTATATTATTTGTCCAAACCTAATTACGAAACATGATTCTTCGCCAAATAGGATTCCGAAGCACCATAAGCAGCCACAAATTTATATATACAATATGGATGTCAAATCGAAGATCATCAAAAGATGATTAATTTGATATATTATATATGTAAAATCGATAAGAAATACAAAAATTATCTACTTTTAAAATATTTTTATAATTCAATAGCTTATTGAAAGAAGCAAATCAAAATTTAGGGATATATTAGTCACTTAGTGCCTCATTATGTAAAATTACAAAAAATTAAAAGGTTATATTAGTAAAAGTAATATTAAAATACCTAAGTTAGCTAAATAATATTTAAGGAATACCCGGACCTAGATTATTAATTATTAATATATTATATTATTTGTCCAAACCTAATTACGAAGCACGATTCTTCGCCAAATAGGCTTCCGAAACACTAGAAGCAGCCACATATTTATATATACAACTAGTACAACACCCGTGTATTACACGGGTGCTTGCTAATTTTTTTCTTAAAATCTAAAATTAATAAGAAAAAAGTAGTTTGAAAATTTAAATACCTTTTATAAGAATATATACATTATTATATATTTATTGTGACACTTTATATTATACTAATTTTTTTTTAACTTACAATATATAACTACATTACATATAAATATATAAATTAAGAAATAATTTTATTTTTCTAATGAATTTTAATAAATATTATTATTTTTTATTATTATAAAAATAAATATAATTTATTTATTTCATATATACAATATGGATGTCAA